ACAATGTTTGGAAGAATGAGCACTGTATGTATCAGATTGCAGGTTTTACTTGCTTCGCATGGTGGAGCCTTGCCACCAACAATGAACGTCATGCATCATAACAAACAAACCACAAACACAAGCGCACAGACAAGAAGACACAGGAGCCCCTATTCGTGGTCATTCATGATCTGAGAGCATCCCCCCAAACAAGGGAGCGTGACGAGCTCCGTGAAGTGAGGAAGGACACCAGCACCGTTTGCAGAGGGCTGCTCCAGCAAGCGCAACATTGCTGGTTTCTGCCACTCGCTTGCTTGCTGGTCTGATCTCTTTCACTAGACAACGCAAGCCTGCTTGCACCTTTGCAGGCTTGCCCATGGGGCACTGTCTAAGGGGCTTCCCTTTTGCACTCCCTCGTGTATCGTTGGGGTACTTTTGTATGTTTTATGACATCAGACAACTTGTAAGCATACGCGCTGCGCACACGACACCAAAAAGAAAACAACCCCTTTCCAAACCAAGACAGGCGGACAAAGGCGTGTAGTGGTGGAGCCTAGCCTTTCCTCACAGGCTGGGGCCAGTCCATGAGCCAAGAGCCCGGACACAGCCCTCCAAACACAAGCAATCACCATCCCTAATTGTCTGTGATACTTGCAAGAACAAACCGCCCTTCACATCAAACCCTTGAGCACTGTTCGGAAGAGTTGCTGTAGGAGGATATACCAAAATGAACTGAACAAATCAAGGAACTGCCGCATGTAACAATAGGATACACTAGGGGTATCGTGTTTTTCCCCAAACAGTGTGGGCACACTGAGGGATTCTTACGGTAAGTGAAAAGCAGCAGGTGTGCTTAGATCGCTGTTCCGCGCGGGCGTGTCCGGCCAATTCGCTAAATAGCACATTCATGCCTCTCGACATCGTCAATGTGCATTTCGACTGCGCAGGCTGGGCTCGAAGAATCTGGGTGCCCGCGGCGGGTGCTTGTCGCGACTGCGCTCTCGTTGTGGTGCCGTGCGCATTTTGGTACATGGTGATCACTTTTCGTGGCAGGCGCAAGGGAAACCTCGTGTTTTGGTGCTTCAAAGTCGACTTTTCGTGACAGGTGCAAGGGATCGGAGCTGTTTTACTTCGAAGTACACTTTTCGTGGCAGGCGCAACACTTTGGACATGGTGGTGATTTGGAGAAGCTCAGATTTCGTGACAGGTGCAGTGAATCGTGACTTTTGGGCATGTGGCTCGTTTGCAGATTTCGTGGCAGGCACAGCACTTGGTGAACCTCGAAGCGCAGATTTCATGACAGGTACAGCACTTGGTGACCTCGAAGTGCAGATTTCGTGGCAGGCACAGCACTGGTGAGCCTCGAAGTGCAGATTCCGTGGCAGGCACAACACTTAATTGGTGGACCTCAAAGCGCAGATTTCGTGGCAGGCACAGCACTTGGAGAACATCGACGTGCAGATTTCGTGGCAGGCACAGCACTTCGTGAACCTCGAAGTGCAGATTTGCGTGGCAGTTAGTCCTCTCAGATGCTCACTCTCTCACTCTCCCACTCTCACCCTCCTAATCTCACTCTCACCCCACACTCAATCTCACTCTCACTCACACTCACACTCGCACTCACAATCACTCTCCCACTCTCACTCACACTCGCATTCACGCTCACGCACTCCCTCACACACTCACTCACTGTCACAAACTCTCACTCGCTCTCACTCACACTCGCACTCACACTCACACGCGCACTCACTCACCCACACTCACTCTCACCCACACTCACTCTCACTCCCACTCACACTCGCACTCACACTCACACCCACTCACTCTCCCACTCCCTCACTCACACTCAGTCTCACTCTCACCCACACTCACTCGCACCCACCTTCACTCTCACTCACACTCACTCCCACTCACACTCACACTCACTCTCACTCACTCACACGCTCACTCTCACTCACACTCACTCCCACTCTCACCCACACCCACCTTCAGTCTCACTCACACTCACTCTCACTCACACTCGCACTCACTCAGTCTCCGACTCCCACTCACACTCACACTCCGCACTCACACTCACTCTGCCACTCTCGCTCACACTCACTGTCACTCTCACTCTCACCCACACTCACTCACACCCACCTTCACTCTCACTCACGCTCACTTACATTCACACTCACACTCACTCTCACTCTCACCCTCACCCACACTCACTCTCACTCACACTCGCACTCACACTCACTCTCCCACTATCACTCACCACCGTCACCACGATCCCCACCTTCATCACCACCATCACCTCTCTGGACCCCAATTCGTCTAGATCTCTAGACTTTCTGCTTACAGACCTCACGCACACTGTTTGGGGTCTCTTGCCGGGATAATGTTTTAATCTTTGGCAACTGCACTCTTGAATAAGAGCCAGGCAAATCACACGGGCTCCTGAAAGAATCTAGGACTATCACCGTCACCCCTTTTGAGAGACCCCCCAAAAAATTCAAACAATCCAATCATATCCCCTCAAACCGCTCTAAAGACGTATATATATATATACGGTAATTGAACTTCGCCTTCTATCTTTTGCAGACCTCTACACTTCAAGGGTCTGAACCTGTTACCAAGCAATCTCAAATCACTCCAAGTGGCCCTCAGCTGCGCCGCCCTCAGCACCATTCTGCAGGAGCAAAGCCTGCGGACTGATCCTCAGCGTGAAAGCGGTCGGTGGAAGCGGATCTTCAAATAGGGCGACTCTGCATTTCCACTACCCAGTCACAAGGGAAAAGCAGATCCATTTTCAAAGACTCAGTGGTAACTACCATGATGGAACCTGATGGTTGTTCATCCGTGTAATTTTTCAATCACTACGGGAAATCTCCTCAGCATGACTCAGTTCCATGGTGGTTCACCATTAGGTGATTCAGTGGTGCGAGGCAACCAGAGTGCCATCTAAATTCAAGTCATATTCTGCGTCTCCAAAAATGTTTTTAAAAAACGCTTGTAACTTGCAAGGCAAACTACTCGGGTATAACAAAAAACACATTTAAAAAACACATCCTTTTGGGAAAATAGTAAGTATGGACTCAAAAAATGTGAACCAAAACCAAACCATCTCGATCCGTCTCGACATCTGTGTCTCCAGACATGGTCTCGCTGCAATCGCCCTCGATCTTTGAGCTCAAACATCGATGGTGGCGTGGCGTTTAAGCAGCGCTCTTGGATTGAATAGGCATAGTGTACCGAACACTTTGCCGAGCCGCTCGGTGCATTCGAAAGAAGGAGCGTCCCACAGGCGACGAGCGTCGAGAATGCACTGGATTGAAATGCATTGAAACGATCAGGAACCATCAACCAAAATGTGTCCCTTTCAGGTCATCGAGGATTTCCAGGATGGAAAGGGCCGTTTGTCAGACCGACCTCCAAACAAGACCGACCTCACAGCAAGCTGTTCGATGGTGGACCAATAAATATGAACAGCTCACTCCAGCAAGGTCCCACTGGCTCGCAGCATGCGACCTGGTCAGACTTCCCACCTGGGGGAGACTTCCGGGAGATGGCGCCCCGATGACTCGAGTCATCTTTCGTCCACGAGTCCATGGCGGTAAAAGACACCTGCAATCCGAGACCACGAAGCATTTTCGAAGCACCCCCCGGACCCATCGTGTAGCGAGCCGCTGCCCACCACACCTCCCCAGTTTGGCTGAATCTCTGTGACCCTTGAGGGGCCCGAATTGGCGACGGGACGAACAAGGAGGGGTTCGTGCGCAACTCCTGCACTTGACTTGGGTTCAATGTGGGGCTGCTTGCTATTTGGCTTCGGTTTGGGAAATACAATCCCTCCGCTGATGCGACTCTGTTCCATCGGGCTTGGCTGATTGTTCGGGCATGGCTGACCGCACTATTCCATACTATTCCAATGGACTCAATAGACCAAGGGAACCCTGCGTTCTCGCAAGCCGTGAGAGGCCCATAAAGGCTAACCCAAGGACCCAATGTTGGGACAAACCCACATCCCAAACAGTCCAGATTGATTCCCACAAAGCGCACTGAAGAAAGTGGCATGTTGCTTAATGCGGTCATTCTACCGTCTACCCCTGCCTAGGCACTTTTTGCCACTATGGATGCATCTCCAGTTTGCCTTCTTGAGGCGTGTTTTATTGAAACAAACAACAGGCTCTGAACCCAAATCCTGGTGAACTGGTTGACTAGTGTGTAGGAAAAAATAAAATATATAGAGAGAGAGAGATCTATCTATAGGGACCGTGGTCACAAACGCCGCAGAACACACTTTCTGCGCGAACTCCTTGGCGAAAAAAGCACCAACACTGTCCACGCGATTACCCGTGCTTTCGATGCCACGATCCACTCAGTGGGTCAATCGAAAAACTCATGCTTTTGGGTTCACCAATAATTTGGGGACACCCTTTTGAGGTATACAAGATGATACATGTAGGTTTGATGAGTTTCAGCATATCACAGTGGAAAACTACATGGTCTCAGCCTGGCATGCAAAAAGAGAACAAAAACCAACCGAACACCCTGAAAAGAAGACAAATAAATGACAGCCTTCTAGAATCAACTGAATCAACTTTGTGGGTTGCACATTTGTTTATTAATAACTTAGGGACGGATGGGAAGGGTCGACTGGCAGACTTCATGCAAAGCAGGAACTGATGAGAGGACCCCTCCAAACCCCCTCGGGATCATGCCATCATGTGAATTCAGGTCTTGTGCAGGTCAAAAAGACTTCCAGAAAAGAAACAAGGTCGGCACAACGAAAAATGCACCAAATCCGGGGGGGCTGTTTTAAGGCTGTTTGGGATCTACGTGATGTAGATCCGGGCGATGGATTCATCTTGATTGATTGAACGCAGGGTCACTAGCAGAGTCGCTTTACAGCAGACCTGTTGCAACTTCATTTGGATCGGTCTTGATTCAATTGAAATCCCTGGTGCAGCCCCAAAAAAACAATGCGCAGTGGAAATAAGAGCTGGCTGGCTTATAAACACCCAGCAATATGCAGTGTTCAGGTTTCCCACCATTTCTCGTTGCTGATTGTCTTGTTTTTGGTCTTGAACTTTGTCCTCCTTGGAAGCAACCAGAACTGCACAAGTCGCATGCAATTCCCTTTTCAAAGGAGCTGAACCTGGCGTCCAGTCGCACAGCTTCGACACGAAAACGTTCTATGGAAGTGCACCCCCCCCCCGTTCATACAGGAAAGTGGTCTTCCAAGAGGCCATGCCATACACTTCCATGTGATGTGTTCGTCAGAGTGTAGATCACTGCAAAAGTTCAAGTGACCAAGTACTCCAACATTGCTGCGGAGTCTTTGAGCAAATGTGCCTCTTGAAGTTGCCACCCTGGAAATACGCTGTGTTCAGCCCCTCCCAAAACCCAACGAAGTGTTTCTCAGTAGCAAGGAACTGTCACTGCTACTTTCAGACCTTTATATTTCTTGACGTTCGAGCATTTCTTGCTGATGCGATTCCCCTGCCTGCACCATCCTGCACCAGAAGAAACAATTTTTGTTGGACATCGCGCGACCAAATATGATGGAGTTGGAGTTAATTTCTCGATTAGTTCACATTCTATTCACATTATTCACTCCAAGAATTCTTATCCTCGCCATCACGATGAGGTGCAATCGCGAACATCTGTTTGTGGGTTAACATGGGTGAACAAGCTTCTTCACGTAACTTGTCGGGTGCAGGGCTCGTTCCCTGCCCTTCTGGCTGCCAACCTTGGCCAAAAGGCGCTGCATGGGGCTCGGGGTTTCTTCATGACGACCGTCGGCGAGTCCGTCAGAACCGCACCGTCGGCGAGTCCGTCTGTTCGCGTTTTGGGGTTGCCGGGCGCCTGCGAGCGTCAGCCAGGCGGAACGTCCTCCCGCGCGTTGGCCATGCGGCGACGGAGGCGTTCCAGGGAGCTTTGAGCAGCCACCTGGCGGTCTCAGTTCTGTTGCCAATTGACGTCTCCTGAGATGTGCAGTTGATGAACAGTTGTTTTTTCTCGTTTGCCGGTATTGACAACTGACAACTCGACGGGTGAAGTCGGTGAAGTTGGATGTTTAAAGTTTAAAGTTTAAAACCCCTAAGCAATGGTTTGGTGGTCTAACAACCCAAGCATACCTTCAACAGAAATGTTTAAAAACATATCGTTTAAGGATCTTTTCGAGGCTTCACAATCAGTCTAAACAAACTGCCAGGGTGATGATTTCACCTCTCCCTCATTGAGATCATTCAAAGCTTGGTCTCGGACACTTCCCTTCTTGCTACCGGATCCTGACACCCAAGAACCCGCTCAACCTGGCGCCAGCCTGGCGCCAGCTGAACCCGCCTCCTCCAAGTCACCCGGAAACGCACCGTCCGAGGAAGGGAGTGCTGCAGGCGCCTTCTGCAAGTGCTGCAGGCGCTTCTTGCGCTCGGGCGCGGAAAAGGCGGCCACCCGGAACCTGACGTCGGTGAAGGAGGAACAGTAGCGGTCAGCCAAGTGCGCCTTTCTATGAAGAAAACCATTGAGTCAATTGTCCTGTTCTCGCGCTGGATGGGAGGTATTTGCTTGACACCATCCGACGGAGGTGGAAAAAGGCTTAAAATGGAGGCCCCCAGCCCCAGGTCGGTGCTATCCGAAAGGCATCGTGGTGTTTGCTTTGATCTCAGGATGGGCTTTCATATTTCTGTATTTCATGATGAGTGATACAGAATCCAGAAACACCTTGGGAATGAATCAAGAATCTAATAATCGAGGGCGAAGCCCTTTTTCACTCCACCACACATGGCCGGAGGTTCGGAGGTCTCGTGGTGCACCGGAGAGGATTGGTGGAAACAGCCAAGAAACAGCAGTGTTGCGACTCGAACGTTTTCCGGGGGGTCTGAAACGGGATCCCCACCGGTATCCATCCACCGGATAGCGTGTCTCAATTCAGGACTCCCACCCCAGTCGCACCTACCCTGCCCAGGTTGGAAAAGACAATTATAAGACATTAGACCGACACCAGTGATATTTTGGAGCATCCTGATTTTCAGGCACACCATTTGCAATCACTTCAACCGAAGCAATTCTGCTAAGACCATGGCCAGGCAAATGCGATTGCTGCAGCGCCTGCGCCGGCGAGGCATTTTGGCACAACAGGAACCAGCTTGCCTGGATTTGCATGCAACACCCTCCAGTCAACTGCTCACATCGAGCCCTGACCGATGTTGCAAACCAATGGGAACCACTAGGTTTCAAGTCGAAAGTTTACTCCTCAGATTTTGACTCACACAAGTAAGTAGCGCTCTGATCGATCGCGCTCCTGACAAAACATCCACCAAGGCTCCACAAACTGAGCAGTTCCGTGGACCTCCCCCTGTCCGTGGACCTCCCCCTGTCCGCCTCCGAAGGCATCGCCCAGTCTCCAAGTCCTGTCTGTTGGGGTCAACATCCAGGAATGGGTTGGGACCCCATTCCAAGAGTGTTGGAAGGTCGAAGCCTGGGTTGGAAGGTCGAAGCCTGGGTTTTTCTATGTTTTTCTCCCCTTCCTCTTTCGAGTCGAATCGCTCGCGTAGTGGAAGAAATCCTGCACCCAAACGTCCAAAACGCGGAGTGAGTCCTGGGTGTGTATTGTAATAATTGGGAGACCCTCAAGGAATGGGTTTTTGGCCTTTCCATGCTGTTGCAGTTTCATGCAGTCAACGACATGCAGTGATAGTCCTCAGCATAGCGTAAGACGAGCCCACCGGTCCTATGGTACATCATGACGAATTTTGGTCTATTTCCCTTCTTCAAATAAGCCTTTGGGAGGTTTCCCTAATTCAATAATTACACACCCAACAGCAGTCATTGGCGAACTACCACGTCCAATGCATGCGACGTGTGTTCCCCAACGCATCCAATGGTGTCCTTTCGAGGGTGGCCGCCCGCGCATCCTGGACACGGTCCAAAGGGTGCGTCGAGGTGTGATATACTGAACTGAGAGGAATAATAAATCACATGAAGTGAAAGGAGGAATGATAAGTCACGGAAACATACTGAACTGAAAGGAGGACGACTCTTGTGCCAAACAACATGCAAAACAAGACATTTTTCGCTGACCTCTTCATGCTATAGGCTCCATCATGCTCATCGATTCACCATCCACTGAGACCCACCCCTGCCACGGTCCTGAAGGTTCTGGGCCCCCTGTGCACTTTGCTTTTTCAGCTCCTGCTCGGCCAGTGCTTTGCGGATCGCCTTCAATGAGTAGCCAACCACAAATATATCAGACCAAAGGTTTGAAAAAACAAATCGGGCCAGCAGTCCCAAAGGGATACCTACAGTATTGCAGGGATAGGGGTGCACATCCACTCACTTCGGGAACACCACCCCTTTTGGGACTCCTGGTATATATACATGCAATACGGTTCCTGGCAACCCCCCCGGGTCGGACAGCGTCCGACCCCGTCCGACCTCGTCCGCCCGACCGACCACGTCGATCGTCCGCCCGACCGACCGCGCCTCGAGCTCCGCACATTGCTGCGTCCACTTCTCCTGCCACTTGCGGCGCTCGGCCTGGCCGGGAACACGTCGCGAGAGCGCTCCAATTGAATCGAATGCGTATAAACGGTGATAGTTTCAGAAGGGTCAATTGACATGTCTAAAAGGTTCCTGAATTGAGATCTTGAAGATCGCCCAGGGATTCTTTCTGGTTGTGGTTGGAAGACACTCAAAGAACAAGGAACCGTGAGGACCCACTTTCGATCCTAGCCTTCAACTTCTAGGGACTGCTTTGATTGGCTGAAGTCTATTTCCTGCAATGGCAAAAATGCTCCTCAAGTGTGCCTTACTCCCAGCATATCTTTAAGTACAGTAACTGAGCCCACATGTCCCAATCAGAAAGCCTTAAGGCATCTTCCAAATCATCCATCCTCCCTCGGTGGGGAAACATGTTGAAGGCTATCTGGAGAGTTGTTATATTGAAACAGGATGATACGGGAGATTTGAGGCCAAATATATACATTGGGAACTCAAACTCGTGCCAAGGGTGGAGTAAGTGACCTGAAGACTCAGTGGATTGGACCTTGCGCCAACCCTCAAATCCTTGCGCCCAAGGCCTTGCTGTGCTGTTGCGATTTGCTCCCTTGAAGAGATCTTTTCTTCGACCAATCTTTCCAACTGGCTCACATCGGCCAGTCCAAGCGTCTTCGGATACTGAACCCTTCCCACCGGGATACTGAACCCTTGAAACCTCTCTCTGACCGGTCTGGAAACGAGAGAAGGCCGCCCACCGCCACCCACGCCTCAGCCTTGCCAAAGCGACCCAGAACGCTTTCACTCTGTTTCCAGCCTCGCTCGGACGGAAGGGCCGTGACGCTGAGACACACCAGATGAAGCACCCGGTCTGGCGACGGCGTTGCGAACGGCCAATCTTTGAGAAACATAAATGGTTGACGATACATATTTATATATATATATATATTGCATGTGTATATATAATACAGTCGAAGATACATTGAGAGAAGAAGATAGAAACAACTATATATTGTTCAAATGAATGGTCATATGTTCTGCTGATCTGCTTGCTCCAAAACTAGGGGATTGCGATGCAAACTGTTCCCCCCCACGTCACTTGATACTCTGAAAGTCACTTAGGGACACAAATGAAAACTGAAGGGGTTACTGTCGGGTTACTTTGAAGAAACTCGCACTCTCAACAAAATGGATCTGGGACAAAACCCTGAAGCGCCCAAAAATCATAAGGCAACACCGGGGTAGGTTCAGCAGAACTCCATATGTCTAAGTTTGCACCCGCGCCAAATCCGTGAATCTTTGCCCACAAGAGAGCATTGGCCTGCTCTTGTTGGGGCTTATTGTGGTACCCTGAACTCGTGCTTCGGCCAACGAACGTGCTTTTGTCTCGGCCAAGCGCCGCAACGAATCCTAGAAAGACAAGCCAACCTTGCGTCCCTCGACCTATGCGAGGTGCTGGCCAAGACATTAACACGGAGAGCCTGTGATGACATCCTCTACCATGGGAGACAGGCTTTACTTGTCATAGCATTTCTGGTAAAAAGGACACTTGACTTGAAAGAAAAATCCAAACAGTAATGCTGACCTGGGTGTAACACCCATGAGCCTTTTAAACATCTTGTGCTGCCTGATGCTTCAAAAACTTTGCGGTGAGTTCACCCACACCATCCCTCATCCCTATCCCACACCATCGCGAGTCGTCTCGAGCTGGCTCTCCAATCTCCAAAATCACCTGCTACAGTTTCGACTTACCTGGCGTAGCCGGAGCGTTGCTCAGGTCTCGGGTCCGTCGGGGTCCGGTCCAGGCGAGGTCTGGAAGCAGTCTCCGTGGAGTCCCAAGCGTAGCCCAGGAGTCTATGTACCAAAGCCCGAGCCCCAAATACTCTTTCTAAATACATATGTATATATATATATACCAGGACCTTCCAACAGGTGGTTTAAGGACACTTCTTAACCTCCAAGATGCTATTTGCAGACACCTCTTGGAGGGTCCTGGTATATATACCTAGAACTAGAACCTCAATTAGGCCATCATTTCCGCCCAACTTCACGTAGGCAGAACATGCTGCCCGTTTTCACAAAGAACGCCTAAGCTGCAGCCTCGAGACGAGGCACAATCACATGCATTCTTACATGCAGGAGGCAAAACCTAATATTAACGAAAATTCCTTTGAGAAAGCAACCTGGCGCTGGTGCCCGGCTCGGTCTATCCGGTCTAAAGTTTTAAAAACGCAAGTGATTGAAACTCATGTCACTTGCTCCCCCAAAAAGGCTACCATGTCTTTGTCCACCCAACTACTGATTGTTGTTGTGAGGGGGAAATGGGTAAGAACGCCTAAGTAACGGGCAATAATGCCTAAGTAACAGGTAAGAACGCCGAATGCCTAAGTGACGGGAAGAATGCCTACGCAACAGCATACTAAAGCAATGAAACAAAGCATAGAAAGACAAAACGCATGCAGAAGTGAAACATCAGGTAAAATCATTCCTGATAAATAAGTGCCCTGTATCTCTATGGTTCATGGAGCCGGCGGGTAGATCCTTGTCTAGCATTGCCGCCACCAAAACGACCTTCGAACACCGACCTAGCGGAGCCGTCCGAACGACGTTCTGAACGCCAAAAAGCACGGAGGAGGCGCCTTTGCCCATAGGCAGACATTTCTGCCCAAGAAGAGGTTCTGGGTACATACTATTACAGTATATAATATCTCATAATTACAACGATTCCTTTCTGGTGTGCAAAAACCCTTAGACAAGTCCCCCCCAATCTATAGAAACCCCTGTACCTGCCGTTTACGAGTCTTTCAGAGGCCCAGGACCACAATTCGGTCCAGCTCTCATGGGGGGGTCTTAGTCAAGCGCCCTGCTGCGTGGGAACCTGCCAGTTAAGACTCAACGATTAAGAATACACGGACCTTGTTCCCTGCAAAGCTTAGACCATGCAAAGTGGATGCCAAAACAAAGCCTGAAGGAATCCATTGGTTAGTACCTTTTCGTTGCATCATGTTGTTTTTTGGCTTGTGCGCCGGCTAAATCCTTGGTGGATCGATTCATACATCTGTGACAGGTGGTAAATTCCTGCCATGCCCCACCTCTGAGGTGCACCGCCGACGGCATGGTCTGAAACCGCCGAAACGACCGGAGTCTCACCCCGGTGAGAGACCAGGGTGAAGTGTGGGGTGACACAAATAACAAGAACGGCAAATGGTCATCCGACCAAAGCTTTTACCAAGCCTTACTAAGGTCATGCAAGGTGCCTAGAGGGCAGCCAGGAAGCCGTTTTGACTATGGCACACATATTAACTTCTGACTCGTGTGGACCAAACCAATCGGCTCTGCATCCGTGCTGCTGGTCTTCATCATCAGGGCCATCATGGCCTTCTGCGTCTCAGGGCTCCCCTCAGTCGTGGCTGATTGACATTTCTGCAGGGAATATCGGAATATCAGCTGCGAACACCAAACCCGCAAAGGATCACAGTGGCAAGTTCACTGTTACCTGCCTGTGCATGGCAGCGCCCCTGGCGGCCCTCCGCCCATTCTGTGACGATCTGTCAGAGGCACTCCAAAAACATCCTTTGCGGTATCAAAACCTGTCCAACTGTGCCCAGTGCCCCGCCGCGGTCCCTGCCGCGGTCCCGCTTACCTCTCTTTAGCGGCCGACGGCGGCCAAGGCGCTATGACCTTTCTCAAGGTCGTCAGCTCCTCCGCTGAGGGCGTCGAAGCAGAGAAAGGATGAGATCCAATACCCAAAAGACACATACTCCCAACACCACCAATGGATTTTAGATCCCCCCTGAGCCCTGACTGTGTAATCTATGCCTTTTCCAAAAACCACCCTTAAATCATCACAAGTAATGTTCAACTCCAAAGTCAAGTTGTAGGGAACAATAAAAACTGATTCCAAAGTCATTCCCACGCCCTGAATTGCTTAGGGTGGTTGGAAAAGAGTGTATGTGTTTTTCTGTTTTTCGCCCAGGGCCCAGGGACTTTTTTCAAACTCGGGCTTGTTGTTTGATTCCATTTTCTATTGCTCAGCTATTGTTTGACCTGCAACCCGTTCTCAATAACGCTTTGTGAACACTCACCGAAATCATTGCCCCGAATGATTTTTCCCGGGGGGAGTGCACAAGCCCAAGGGAAGTAGATTATACGAATTGTTTAGGAGGTCAATAAAATGCGCAGGAGCAAAATTGGAGCCCTGGAAAAATAGATGTTGTTTTCTATTGTTACTAATACTAGTTCTACGACCACCACCACCACCACAACAACAACAAGCACTACTACTGCTACTACTACTACTGCTACTACTACCACTATCACAACCACTGTGATGATGATGATGATGATGATGAGGAGGAGGAGGAAGAGGATGGCGATGACGATTATGTAAGTGCTGACGACAGTGATGATACTCATGGTCTTGGCGATGATGCCGTTAATGCTGCTTACTGTAATCTTGCTGCTGGTGATGATGAAGAGGACGATGACACTTATGTTGTGCTCTGATTATACAATACACGTGATCGTTAATGTTCATTGTGATGTTGCTGATGATGATGATGATGATGATGATGATGATGATGACGCCGACGACGATGGTGACGATGAACAAGGTTCGCCTGGATAATTGCAATGATGTTGATATCGATGTCACGTCCATGATGATGTTGGCAGCGCTGACGACGGCTATGATGTGATACACATGATCTTGGCGATGTTGACGTGTTTACATGTTCTTGTAATTTTGCTGCTGCTGACTATTATGATGCTCGTGATGTAATACGATACACGTGATCTTGGCGATTATTACGTCAATCCTCATTGTTAAACTGAAACTGCTGCTGCTGCTGCTGCTGCTGCTGCTGCTGCTGATGATGATGATGATGATGATGATGATGATGATGATGTTGCTCATGATGTGATACAATACATGTGAACTTGGCGATGGCGTTGATGTTAATTGTGACGTTGTTGACAGTGACGCTGCTCTTGATGACGCTATTGCTCATGAACATGGTTGCGATGATTGCAGGGGCCAAAGGCGCAAACACCTGTCTGAAGCTATATTATAAAAAGCTTCCTGTGTTTGAAGTTGGAGGCTGCAACAACAACAAGCCCATGGCAAGTTGATGATGTCTCCATCTTCTTGCCCGAGCACCCGGGCACACGGGCATGTCTTTGGAGGGGACCTTACTCTCACACTCTCTCAACTGCTTGCTAGGGAGGCAGGATGTGGCTCACTATTTCAGATTTAACATTATATATTTATATCCACCAACGAAATATGGCTGTGACATGTTCTGAAAGTTGTTTGTATCTAAGTTTCTTGTGTCCTCTTTGTCTGTTTCTATTTCAATACGCCACGCACTCATCATCTCCTCCTCAGTGATGCCGTCAATGGCCGCCACCACATCCTGACATTGTCATTTGTTGTTCAGACCAAGCGAAGTAGAGCACCAAGCGAAGCGGAAGTGACATGGAGGACGATGTCAAGCACGCCACCGGCCACCGGAGTCCAGTGTCGCATCTGAGCAATCCAAGAAACACCGCTGTTTCGGGGGATTTTCGGCCGTGCCGTTCCATGCCAAACCTGTCTTCGGCCGTGTCCTTCATGATGATCCGCTTGGATTCTCGAAGCGCAAACCTGGGAAGGAGGGCCGACATGTTCCCCCATCAACTTCCAAAGCACCAGAGCATCCAGGTTTTTGAAATAGTTAGTTATATACAATATACATACATGGACCCCTGAAACCACCGTCAATGTAGGCAAATATGCCAGTCCCATTAGTCGTGTCTGGGAGTTCCGTTTAGGTCTTT